ACTTCTAACAAGCTCTGGAGTGTTACTGCTTACTCATCATAAAAGACTAAAGAGAGCTGGGCTTCCCTCAAAGAGCTCTTAGGTGTGGATTATGTTAAATGGAATGAACCCCAATAAGCATCAGAAAACTTATTCCTTCTTTCAGAGGTGGTGTGGGTTATGTTTAATGGAATGAACCCCAAGAAGTTTCAAAGAAAATCTGTACCTTCTTTGAGAGATTTGTGCTTGGGTTTGTGGAAACACTGCCAACTCAGACCTAGATAATTACAAAACTAGTTGCCCAAAATTTCTGGGGAAAGGATGGAGTGAAGTTTGAGAAACCCACAGAGCTGTAAGCATAGGCTGCTTTCAAGGAAAATGGAAAATAATGTTTAGGGTGGACCATGAGTCCTAAGGGTGAAACTAAAAACTGTGAAGTGTTTGCTGGCATTGAATCCCAGTGAAGGAACCACCAAGCTGTCCTTTGCAGGATATCTGGATTTCCGTAATCAATGACTCCTACGGGCCTTTCATCTGTCTACACTTTGACAAGAGTGTCTATGGTGATTAACATGCACCTGTTCTACCATTGTGTGTTAGGGAGTCTAGGGGGAAGGTAACCTGTTTCTTGAGCTCACTGATACTCAAAATTAAATGGAATATATACTCAAAGACTAAGAGAATTATGCCTGAGCTATCTCATTTATTCCTCATCTGACTTAAGTGATGAGATTCTGGACTTGGAACCCACTTTATAAAGGGATGACAATTTTCAGGGCCTTGGGGAAATAATCTGAGGACTTTGCATATGGGCAGGATGTGAGTTATTGTGGTACAGAGTGAATGACTGTGGTTATCAGCAAGAAGGCCTCCGCGCCCTCCGTAGACAGGGCTGACCTGTCTAATAGGATATTGAGGAAATGATGGAGCATGACTTCACAAGGGAGGTCGTCCAACATTGCAGCTTTCTTCTGGGCGTGTCTTGGATCACTTCCTTCATCGTCAAGGAGCCCTTCTGAAATGTCCGTTTGGTAAAGGACTCAGACTGGCAGTCAACAGTGAGACCTGATTGGCCTGCCATGTGAATGACCCCAGGAAAGCCTTCAGACAGACCACACTGTGATAGTGGCTAATATCTTAACTGAGACTAGCTGAGTGCTTCTTCAAGTCAGGACCATGCAGCTAACAGCACTCCCAAATTCCTGACCTTCACGGACTGAAACCATAAATAACTGTTGTATGAAGTTGCTCAATTATAGGATGATTTGTTACTCAGCAAAAGATAATAGCAGTACCATATGAATTAAAAAAATCCCAAGAACCTTTGCGAGTATTTATGGCTTTCTTGTTGTACCTGAGTTAGGTTAAAAATTTACAAAATGTTTATGGAAAAATTCAGTTTATTTTGCTACAATAATTTTGAAATTTTTGCACATTTTTTTCATCATGCATTTCCACAAACTTTCTGAAGACTGCTGCTGTTGTGATTACTAACCATGATTTTCTCTCACTGTCCCCACACTTCATAGCTATTATGACTGCTCAGGGGTAGAGAGGAGTTTGGAGAAAATAGGAAGATTCTTAAATAATCCTCTGTATTTATTTATATATTGTGTGACTTTATTCATAGTCAAAGTAAACAAATTTAAAATTGAAAGAGCTATATTGCATATTTTAAGGTTCAGTGTTATTTTGGATTTGTTTCCGAGAAGCCATTTTTGGTCCTGAAAGTGCAGGTCTTACAGATATTTCTGGTTGACTTTTGGCTTGAAGCATTTAATGCAAGTTGAGCCGTGACACATTTGTGTGATGGGTTGGACCAGGGAGGGTAAAACTTCCCTTCCCTTACAGTGAGGAGCGTGCGTCCTTGGTATTGGGTTATAGATCCACAAACTACTCATTTCGCAGAAGAGGAAAATGGGGCCAGTCTTTCCAAAGCCAAATAAGTGGTTGATGGCAGAGCAGCCTTAGAATCCTGGCTGCCAGTCCAATTAAATAAGATTTGTTTCAGTTTGTCCTTTATTTCTACCTTACTTGTTTCTTGTCTTCATTTGTTTTGTTTTTTGATGTTTTCAAGGAAAAAAAATGGTTCCACTGAATGAACACCGAAAGCTTCCCTTTTAATTGGTTTTGCTGGGTGTGGTGTCTTTGTTTAAATAGACATGAAAATGTTTGTATATCCCTCTGGGTACTTCTCTGGCTAGGTCTTTTGAAATTGCAAAAAATAAATTACCAATGGGCTTGAGTCCAGTATTCATGATGTAATTTACAATGGTGTTGGTACAACCCATGCCTGCTGCATTGCCCACGTGTGACTCGTTTACAGTTTTTCTATTTAGATGAGTTTCTAATTTAGCTGTTTAAAAGATTTTTTTGTTAAAAATGTAGACTTTCGGGCCCGGCGCGGTGATGCAGTGGTTAAAGGTCCTCGGCTTGCACCCCCGGGATCCCATATGGGCGCCGATTCTATCCCAGCAGCCCCGCTTCCCTTCCAGCTCCCTGCCTGTGGCCCGGGAAAGCAGTCGAGGACAGCCCAAAGCTTTGGGACCCTGCACCCGCGTGGGAGACCCGGAAGAAGTCCCTGGATCCTGGCTTCGGACCAGCATAGCATCGGCCGTTGTGCTCACTTGGGGAGTGAATCATCGGATGGAAGATCTTCCTCTCTGTCTCTCCTCTCTGTATATCCGCCTTTCCGATAAAAAAATAATAAAAATAAATCTTTTAAAAAAATGTAGACTTTAAGACTAAAAGTAAGTCTGTTTTTGTTGCAGTTTCTCCGATTTAGTCACTTTTGAGCTTAAGTGGTTTTTCTCTAAATACTTAGATGAATTTTGAAGAGTATCATTTTATTTTTCCTTATCAACCTGTACATATTTGTTACCTTGTTGAATGCCATTATGAATGTATAAAATATGTGAAAAATTGTTTTGGCTGCCAATTCAGTAAGTTTGCCTTTGGTTTAAAGTGTTACAAAATATTAAAACAAACATCTAGTATGAAATAGAATTAAAGGGAAACTCCTAATGGTGTACATTTCTTTCTTTTGTCACCTATAGAATTTTGTGCACTGGTTGTCCAAACCATTTATTTTCTGTACTCAAGTGGCCAGTTTAGAACCATTAATTGTTCTCGTTTGGTAATTACAGTTAGTATAGTTTTTTGAAATTGAATTTCAGGGACAGCTCTGTAACCATAGTGGGTTAAGGCATTGCCTGCGGTGCTAGTATCCACTTGGATGCTGGTTCAAGTGTTGGCTGCCCCATTTCAAATCCAGCTCCCTGCCTGTGGCCTGGGGAAGCAGCACCTGCACCCTTGTGGGAGATTGAGGAAGTGCCTGGCCCAGCCCAGCCCAGCCCAGCCCCAGCTTTTGCAGACATTTGGGGTGTGAACCAGTGGATGGAAGACCTCTCTCTCTCTCTCTCTCTCTCTTTCCCTCCATATATATGTGTGTGTATGTGTTTTAAAAAAAGAAATTGTAAGTTTCACAGTTTCTGGAATTTTTCCAGTAAATTCCTTCTGCTTATTCCATGTGAAGTCTAAGTGAAGTTAGACACCTCTTGGTTGAGCTGCTGAACTTTGGACTTAAATCTCTTTACTCCTTGACTTCTTATTTCAGTGATTGGTGGATCTGAGCCAACGGCCCGGTGGTTCAGGTTGCATTTTATTGAAAGCACCTTCCTCCTCCCAGCCTGGCACTGTGCTGTTAGTGTTCGTCTTTCCCTAGCAGTCAGAGTTGCACGCTCATGTCTAACTTTCTCTGGCTGTTTACTGGGATACCACAACTCCCACCTCCCCAGACTTCCTCTCCCCATCCCTGAGTCAAAGCTGTAGCAGTTAACCTCCTTCTCTTCTTCTAATCATTGCCTCCCACTTTCCCATCTCACCCCAACTTTCTTCCTTCTCAACATGGAGGAAAAGAGTACTTTGCCTTCATCCCAGTGGCAGAGTGTCAGCTGATCCTAAGGAAGCTCTCTATAACCTGCACGCAGACGTGGTGTTGCCAGTGTGCTTAACAGACCAATGTCTGCTGGAGTGTGGTGAGAAAATTCACTTAGTCGAGAGCCCTGGGGTCCTCACAAACTCAGCCCTTGAAAATGTTTCCTTTAAGAGTAATAAAGAGCATTCTGGTAACTGAGTGTGTGTGTGTGTGTGTGTGTGTGTGTGTGTGTGTGTGTGTGTGTGTGTGTGTGAGAGAGAGAGAGAGAGAGAAAGAGAGAGATGCAGCTTATTATAAATAGAATATCGTGGTTCAGGTTCATCCAGCAGTTTAACGAGAAGTGCTGGTTTGTGAATGGAGGATTTCGGTTTTGAAACTAAATACATGGGCAGCCTTGGGAGGTGGGGGATAGATTTTCAGTTTTTGGAGGCGGTTCCTGCGGCAGGTGCAGGGGAGTTAGTAACGTGCCACTCCTGAACTCAGTGGGTTAGCCAATGAACACTGGGCTTGGTCCTGTGGTCTGGTTTCCCTGTCTGTCAAGAGCTGGCTCAGCAACCAAGCCCAGATTCCAGGTGTGGTATTCCACAGTCGTTCTGTAATTTGTAATCATAGAAACAGAATGTGCCGCCTCTTATTTCTTCCCTGCCAACAGTTTCTGGGTGGGTGAATGTCAGTAACCAGAGTTATTTTTAAAGAGGAGAGGTGAAGCTTGCCGTGCGAACTGGGAAGAGGGCGTTTGTTTGCAGAACGAAGCTGACATCAAAGTGTAGATTACTGCTCAGTGGCTAGGCGCTTGTCCTGTAACAGGTAATGTTTAACGTGCCAGTCACAAAGATCACAGAAGCAGCGTATGCCCGGGCATAAGACAGCAGCACCGTTTAGGGTCTGGAAGACTGAAAGACGTTATATGCCTGGGTGTTTTAATTTTTATTCCAATATGTGAATATATTCGTCTTGGTTTCACTGCCTTGTCTTTTGCTGGCTGTGATTGGACTTTGGAGCCTGGAAGTTATATCATAAAAAAATTGTAACCTTTGTGTGAGAGCACTCGGCTAAGGCAGTCACTTTCCAAATCTTTTTGCAGGATAACATCAGCGTTTTTTTGAAAGCTTGTGAACAGCTTGGATTGAAAGAAGCCCAGCTTTTCCATCCTGGGGATCTGCAGGATTTATCCAATCGAGTCACTGTCAAGTAAGTCACTCTGGTTTGTTATATATTTTTAAACTTACTGCTTGTAGCTTGAGGGAAGAGAATCGCTGAGAGTTCGTGACTACGGAAAGCTCGCTCTTCTCTGTGTCTTTTCTCTGTGCTCATTCCAAAATAGACTGAAAAATGGCTCAGGGCTGGGAACCTGTAATGTCAGCTCACATGTCAGGGTCTTATTGTGATTGTTTAGGTGTCAGACATGGTAGTTCATATTTTAATGCTTGACTAACGTTGTTGTGTTTGGTTGCTAATGGTGAGGCTGCTCATTATCGATACAAAAGTGAATTTAGAGGTCATTTTCGATGTGCACAGTAAGAGTGGCTGTAGAGTAGATTTTTACACGTCTGGATTTAAGACTTGCTTATAAAAATAAGTCCCTTGCCTTATCAAGGAGGCTTTCTGAATATTCAGGAGGCAGTAACTCAGACTTTCGTGTAACACCCTAGTGAGCTAGTCAGTTATGTCCGATTTTCAACAATGAACTGTTTTCCTTGATTTTATTAGCACAGGACAGTGGAGGAAGTGAAAATAGGGAAGGGACCACATACCCAGGTGTACCACTGGATTTCAGTGGAAAATACTGCTTGTGTATGACTGCATGGAGTCAGGAAATGTGGCTTTGAGCTCTTGGGAGACTACCTCCCACCTTACCTCGTAAATCTAATTTGTTTCCAGGAAATAATTAATAAACTCATAAATGTGACAGGAAAACTATTTGATTTTATAATAATGGCGGCTTCCTTATCGTGATGACTCTCAAGCCTAGTTAACGAGTTTCCAAGGGAGCAAATAAGCACCTTATTCTGTCTCTAAGGAAACATCAGTTTTTGCCATCTCAAAGACTTATTTACATCATTAATATTCCCATGTATTGCCTGTCAGTTTTTTTTAACCTGTAAAAATATAAACTGGTCATTTTTGTCATGAAAAATAACCATCTGTATTCATAAATCTTTGGCAACATAGAATGTCTTCCGAGTAGAACAATTGGAAAAGCCCAGATAATATGAAAGTGTATCTAGAATGAAGATGTATTGAAGAGCCTAGTGATGTATGGTTTCTACTGAGCAGACAGTTTGGACCTGTCTGATTTTGGCCGTGTTGAACAAAGTTTTGGCCCTTGGCATACTCTAACAATATAGTGGCTGTCAGCCACGAGAGTTTCTTTTGATTATTCGAAAGACAATTGAGGGATCCTAAGGTTCACAGCCACAGTGAAATGTTTCCTTCTTCAGTGTTTGAAGTCATGTTGTAGTCTACTTGAAAATGACACGTTTAGATGTGTTTGACTTTTCCCAGTGTGTACACTCTGACTGATGAGCACAGAGACTTCAGACCTTGAAGGGTGTCTTTTCGTGAAATTGCTGATGTCTCTCAGTACTCGCCATGTTTCCCTCCAGAATCAGGCTCTATTCTGAAACTCCCCAGCCTGTGCTTGAGTTAAGCAAAATGGGTGTTGGTTTACCAGTTCCAAGAGTGCTATGACAAAGCTTGTCATGAGACATTGGTCAGAAATGCTTAAGGAAAAAAAAATGGCATCTTGAGTCAGCCTTCAGTGAAATTAAATTCCTAACAAACTGAAACTGGGAGGTCACGCTGCTAGAGCTGCAGTCAAGAAGTATGCAGAACAACTTGTTTCAGGGGCGACTGCACGCCCGTCCCAGCAAGGTGTGTCTGATGAGGATCTTGATTTTGCTTATGAACATTTCCCCTGAAAAGTCTGTCATGCTGAACCAACTAAGCGTGGCATCGGATCCTGGGTCTGCCTCCCTGGGAAGCTCTGGAATCCCTCCTGTGGCACACAAGGAAGCTAGCAGATGCTTGGGAGTTGAATGTGTTGGCTAATTGCTAATCTCTAATTCCCTGAGATAGTGGTCAGGAAAGGAAAGGGGTAAAATTGCTTACTAAATAGCAATGCATTTCTGAGTTGTTAGTTGTTGTTGTCATATAACGTGCAGATTCCTAACGGTCAAAAATCTTACTCTCCTGTTATCTGAAAGAACTTGCTTCAGTGAGATGAATACTCCTTACCTGGAGGCAGTTGGCCCCATCTGGAGCCTCTGTCGTTGCTGGAGTTGTGGGTGCTGCAGGCATCTATTGAGTCAGGATGATGCTGAGTACCCTTTAATGCACAGAACAGCTCCTCGCCTCCAAGAATTTTCCTGCTCCAACTATTTATAGTGCTGGGATTGGGAAACACTGGCATAGATTTAAAATTCTTAACTTCCTCTCTGCCAGCAAAATAGTCATGTGGAAATGAAAGATACTGACTGTAACAGACTTTTAACATTCTGCTAAAGTGTAACCATTTACTTATGTAATAGGGTATCCATTTTCTTGTTAGTGTGTTTGTTTAAATAGGAAGACTCATTGTAATTTGTCCCGACATGAGTAGTTTGAAAATATTTTTGCTCATCTGTATAGATTGAACTTAGCAAACAGTGTGGCAGGGTATTTGGTTATTTTAAATACTTGATTGTGAATTAGTTGCTCAAATGCGTCTATTAGCATGAGGAGCTGTTGTTGCCCTTGCTTAGCGTAGTGTTCTGAGAGCTGACATCCTCCAGGTTGGTGAATATGGGGGCTTTCAGTAATGGAGCTAGCAGTGATACATTCATGGTTGACATGTGGCACTGGCGTGGGAAGTAACATGAGTTCATGAACTGTTACTATTGGATTATTTCAATCATTTGGAATCAGACTATAATGGTCTTCCCAAGAGTTTTCTGGCAACGTGAAATTTACAATTTTTATTTACAATAAAGAATGTTTTACTAGTCAAACAGAACTAGAATACTCCTTAAACTTCTGGAATGGATGTATGATCTAGTTTTGTGAGTTATTTGCAGAAAGTAATGGTTCCAGTTTTTCCAAGTATGTTGGAATTATTTCATTTATTTAAAGATTGTATGTTCAAAGTCAGCTGACAGCTTTTATTTTGATGTGCTTTGATTTCACGTGTGGAATCTATCTTTATATTTTCTTCAGAAGACCATTAAGTAAACTGACTTAGTTTCATGGATGTGGTAAATTGAAACTTTGCTGATTTCAGTCCATGACACTGAACTTGCTTTACTGTTAACCACTGGTCAGATATGCACACAGGTGTTAGAGACATTACTGATCTGTTGTAAGGAGGCGCCAGGTTTCCTATGGAGCTCTTCTGAGCACACCTGTAATGAAAGAACTGGGGGAGTGAAACAGTGGCCATGCCAACAGGCCACTGCATCTTGGAGAGTTCTAGCAGCAGATGTCACGATCTCTATGTTGGAACCTGGGCAGTTAGTGGCACAGAACAATGGGGTAACTTAACAAAAAACCTGGGAGTCCTGTATTTGAGCGCTCAGTTGGAAGAAGGGTAGGTGTTAATTTTGTATTTCTGTTGATTTGAATCAGAAACAAGTGCTCTAATCAACTGGCATATCAAACGTTTAAAGCTGAGAATCTGAACAGATTGTAGACATGTTTCTTTTCTCCACCCCCTTACTGTGCTGATCCAGTTTTTAGCATTTCTTTAGATACATTCTGTTCATAATAGAATTACAGGATGGCAGTGCTTTTGAACATAGTATTCCAGTCAAATGTTATTTTCTAGTGTGAACTTCATCATTATTTGCACTATTAGTGTTTTTAGGTGTAAAATATAATTTTAGATATTGCTGTTGATTGAGCTTTTTTTGGGGGGGGATAAATGTCTCTCAGAGATCTTCATTTTTCACAGCTAGTTGCCTAGGGAAAAATAATTGAAAGAAAAGTTAGTATTAAAATGCTTCTATTATGAAAATAAGACTCAAATGAATATTTTAAGGCTTGACTTCTCTCTACAGCTTCAGAAGAGGGCTTGATTTTTGTGGCAGTATTGTGAAGTCATTTCTTAGGAATCAGGTTCCCAGATGGTGCTTTTTTTTTTTAACCAGTCTGCCAAACTGTGCTCGAGGGGTGTGTGTTGTGTGTGCGTTTTGTGTGTGTGTGTGTTTAGAAGTTACTCATCTAAGTAGAAATTACCTATTTTGTAGTATTCTGTTCTTTCTGTTTTAAAATCTGATTTTTCATTTTTTTTGCTTGTGTCTTTCCAAATGAGTCATAGAACATCTTAATCTTTTTATAACAAGCTTAATGATTTCTAAACTTGGATCTGTAACCTGAGCATGATGTCTTCCACCTGTCACTCATGTTACTATTTTAAAACATTCCTTTTCTGCTGATGTATTAGAATAAAACAGAGGAAGTTTCTCCCCGCCCCCGCCTAAATTTCTATCCCATCCAGCCATTCTGTCAGGGTAGGCACTTACCTAGAAGGGGTATTAATTTTTCTAGATTTCTCAGGTAGTGATTAGCAAAAATGGATAACCAAGTTCATAAATGTTTTCATGATAGAGTTTGAATTTCTGTGAGTCCAAGTTGTAGAGAAAAGTTCTGAGATACAATAGGTCTCATATTGGAAGAAACAAGGAAATAATTGAGAGTTTCATCTAGGCTATTTCTGTTTCTAGTTGATTTCTTCCTCAATTGCCTGTGTTTCTATCAGCTCTCCTTTCTTCGCTTTCCATGCCCTGAAATACAGAAATACAGAAGGGACCCCACTTCTTCTTTGTGTGGTGGTATGTTACTTCATGTTGAGGACTTCTGCTTTTCTGGCCAGGATCTTTATCTCTGGAGATAACCTGAACAAGGTGTTCTTGAAAGAGTTCCTGTTGGGCCTGACATGATACTTCAGTGGCTAAATTCTTATGTTTCATGCGCCAGGATCCTATGTGGATACTGGTTTGTGTTCCGGCTGCTCCATTTCCCATCCAGCTTCCGGTCTGTGGCCTAGCATGGTAGAGAATGGCCCAAAGGCTTAGAAACCTGCACCTGCATGGGATACCTGAAACAAAATCATAGCTATTGGCTTCTGATCGGTTCAGCTCTAGCCATTGTGGCCACTGAAGGAGTGAACCAGGTGGAAAGAAGACCTCTCTCTCTCCTTCTCTTTTTGTAAAATC